TGTTATGTTATATTATATTATTCATGTTAAATATAATATTAAGAAGCTTATGTTCTTTCAACACAATTTATTATTATTATTATTATTATTAATAATAATAATAATAATAATAAATATCCTTACAATTACAATAGGGTTTCAGCACTGCGTGCTTGAACCCCTAATAAAAGCAAGGATGTGTAATAATATTAACATTGACATCCAAAAATGAACTTTAACCACTCTAAATATAATTTTAATTATATCAATTTATATCAAATTAAATTTTTCTATTCTATTCCATTCTGTTACATTACATTATTTTATATTATATTATAACGAATGTTAAATATGTTAAGATAATAATATTCTTTCGACCCCATTTACTTGTAAATACTTGTTCCTTTTTATTAGTATTTACTTTAACAATTAAACATTAACTTTAATCACTATGATAAATATAATAATGATGTCTATTCTATTCTATTCTATTCTTACTTTCTTTACTGTTCCAGTCTGCTTCAGCTTTCAAAAAAACTTCAAATAAATGTTGTTTAGACTGCAAATAAACCGTTTACTACCCTTTTAGCGTGCTGTTGATGAATCATTCTGAATGAAAATGGATTGAACGGTGATCTCTGAGCACATATTTACTCCACTGTGCTCAAGTGTCAGTATTGCTCTAATGCACCAGTTACATACCATAGATTTGCATAGCTTTCATGGATAAAACTCTATGCTTTAACAACCTCTTCAGACATCGACAAAACTGAGTATGTTTCCATCTATAGCGACCTGTAGCCTTTAACCACTTGTCTCGACACTTCACTACTTGACTGCTGTCATTATGAAATCGTATTTTTGGTGTGTTGCCATCATTTTAGCCCATTTATCAAACAGTTCTATCTGTTACTTTTGTCACAACAGTTGCACTGTGTTGCTGCTGTGCAAGGATCTAAAGTGCTTCTATGTAAAATGCATGTAAAAACAGCCAACTGGCTGCCTGCCGTCCCAAACGCTTGCCTTGTGCCAGAGCCGCAGGGCGCTCAGAAATGATATCAACCACATCAGAGCTCCTTCAGTAATCAGATTCATTCTCCGCCAGCCTGGTAAGCAGCCTTTCCTTTTTGATACCCGCTCGTTTAGTTTATAATGATGCACACCAGACATCAGTGTGGGCTTTTCAAACATAAGCTGTTTTTAATGGTTCATTAAGGGCTTCAAGGAAGTCTAAAGAAGAAAATAACTGCCGTTTGATTGGTAAATGTGTTTTTGGTAAGAGAAGGAGTAATGTGCGCACCATATGTTATATGAGTGTGTGTGGGAGTGTGGCCAGTGTTTAGCAGGTGTTTGGCTGCTGTGTTTAGTGGTTTTCTCTTGCTGGGATCAATGCCATGGCTGAACGTGCTCCAAGAGGTCTCAAAGACCATTACTGAGATGTACCAAAACATTTCAGAAAAAAGACTCATTCATTAAATTGTCTGGTTGTCCATGGAGCATCCCGATAATTTACATTTTGTTGCCTGTTTGTGAACAGGTTTTTGAGTATCTCTTTATATGTTAATATGTGATGATAACCGTGTTATCAGTATATTTGTTCTACAGCAGAAGGGTTTGTGAGTACAAACAGTTCTTTGTCGGTGTAAACCCAGATTAACCTCGAGTGTTTGACCACTCAGCTACAAATGTCCCATGTTGCTGCTTTGATTTACTTTCTATTACTTAGTGAGGCTTAAGGCATTTTCAAATAGTGCAGTGTTGTTTCTAAGCAGCCGTACAGGGGACCCAGAGCCATATTTATGGTCCATAATAAAAAAAGATTTTTCTATTCAATTTGCGATGTGAATTATCAGAAAAAAATTAATTATCGGTTTCCATCCCATGTGTTTAAAAGAAAAAAAAATCATAACTTTCAGGTAAACAGAAAAAAGAAATGTTCATTGTAGTCACTTACTATGTTGTAGTCACTGTGGCTCTTTTGTTATTAAATATAATAAATTCTAAACATTTTAGAGTGTGCTTTATGTTTGCTCATAGTTGGCAGATGACAGGTTTTGGCTTCTACATTTCAGATTTAGAATGACCAAAATAACATTTTTTTTCTCTTTTTGTCATGACTTGTGAGTGTATATATTTAAAAAATTGCTTATTTTGGTAACTGTATGAATATTTTGGTGTTTCCATTCGACATTCAATATACAATATTTCAAAATGACTTTACTGTTCAAATGGAGGTTGAAAAGATGTTTTAAATTTTTTGAAAGAAGTCTCTTATGCTTACCAAAGCAGGATTTATTTGTTCAAAAATACAATAAAAACAGTAATATTGTGAAATATTATTGCAAATTAAAATAACTGTTTTCCGTTGTAATATATTTTAAAATGTAATATATTTATTCCTGAATTTTCAGCATCATTACTCCAGGCTTCAGTGTCACATGATCCTTGAGAAATTATTTTAATATGCTGATTTGGTGCTTAAGAAACATTTCTTATTATTATAAATGCTGAAAACAGTTATGCTGCTTAGTATTTTTGTGTGGAAACCGTGCTACATTTTTCTTCAGTATTCTTTGATGTATAGAAAGTTCTAAAGAACATCATTTTGAATGGTAGTCTTGTCGCATCTTGGTGTCAAGTTTTGCATAAGCAAAAACCACACTCAATCAAGTTAGTTAAATTGATGTACAGTAGGCCTACTTGGTAAATAAACTTCTTTAAAACATCACATATAAGTGAGGAAAACAATGTCATGTTCTGATCTTGTTCTCTTTATTAGTAGCATTATGTCCCAGTTTGCCCTTTAAGCATGTGACTTACCTCGGCTCTTAAGGTTTTATAAACCTGGGATTTTAAAGCAGATTATCAGGGTAGTCTGGTCTGACAATCTGTCCACAGACAACCAGCAGCAGCAGCAGTACCCTTAGGTCACGTGAACCCACTTTGCTAAGACGATTTATGAGCCAGATCACAAATTCCAAGTCCTAGACTTCCTCCCAGCTCTCTTTGTACTGGTTACAGCGTTAGAATCATGCATCATGTGTTTGTAGCATTGATAGACATGTACAATTGTCAGTTCTTGAACCATGCGCAGTTTTAAATCTCAAATGTATTGCAGCTGAAAATGAACAGGGTAAAGAAACATGAAAATGAAGCGACAGTTCTGTCAAGCATACAGTTTTCCAGAAGGTGTGAAATCGGATGTGGCGTGTAATATGAACAGAGGTGAGCATTATGGTGTTATTGCTGTGGAGGTTATATCCTTCAATTAGTGTCACTGATCAGGCTTCTGCCTGCGGGGGTGAGTCGTAAGACACCGGTGCACAGAAGCCAATAAATCATCCGTATTCGCTCCAGCTGCTGCACACACCGCGCAGATATTTTCAGACGGCAATTTTCTGAGCAGTATAAGGGATGGGAGCTGTTAGCACAGAGGATGTTGAAGAATTTACGTGCACAAGAGTCATAGATTTAGTGTTTGGCTTGAGTGATGAGCTGACATAAGAGATTTTTCAGTCAATGTATATTTTCATATAACTACACACATTTACATTTATTCATTTAGCAGGTGGTTTTTATCCAAAGTGATTTATAAATGATGAAAAAACAAATTTTTCATAAAGTAGCTAACAATGGTAGCAGTATCAAAGTACAGAATTAAAGTAAATGTATACATTTATCACATAATAAAAATATAACTAAAATAAATAATAATAATATATAAAATAATAATATATAAATAACATTTATATAAATATAAAAAATATTAAATCTTAATCAATCTTAATTATTAAATAAAAATATTTACTTATATTTAATATATTAGTTTTTTTTTATTTTTGTCTTTTTGTTGTTATCATATATTTTTAAAGTCGTTAATTTTAATGCATACCGAAAAATATAGTTACAAAATAGAAAATTAAAAAAATGTCGTCTTTTTGGGTGAATCTCTTTACTTTTGAGTTGATATTATCAGTTCATATCAGTGAAAATTGTATAATTTTCTCACCTTCGTGACATGTTGTATATTTTGCAAATGTATTTTTTTTTAGGTATATGCAGTAAAATTACATTAAAATATATGACAAAAACAAAGAGACTTATTAATATAAAAAACTATTTACAAATATAAATATAAATAAGTATTAATTAAGATTATTCTATATGCATAGCATACATAATGATTTTCATGAGAATCATTATGTACTTAATATTTTTATTATGTAAAAAAATTTTTATTTGTGTATTTTACTCAAATTCTATACTTTGGGACAGTTAGTAGATCTAGTCCCTGACATGAAAAATAAGCAATATACACAATAACTAGTGAACAGGTATTTTGCTTCATAGCTCATACTAAATTGTGTACTTGGAGTCTGTATTGTTCAATTAGTATCCAATACCATAACTGTTCTATAAGTGCTCGCTGAAGAGCTGTCTTTTAGCTATGTTTTGAAAGGTGTGTTTCTCAACAGCTGATTCAGTCAGACAGCCTCGTGATGGACCCCGCAGTTGACGACATCAGTCTGCTGAGATCATTTAGTTTCCTGCCGCTGCCTCACTGTCAGGTCTGCACACAATGAGATCAGCACTGCAGGAGTATCCTTTTCGCCCAGCAACTGCTGATGTACTCGCATTTCGGGTACAGGCACCGATCAGCCATTGAAGAGAGCAATCTGCCCTTCACATCAACCTCTGCTGCTGCTGCTGCTACTGCAGTGTTTCTGCAGTCTGAAGCTAAAGCACAGCGCATCTGTCCTCTCGCTTTCAGAGCTCAAAGCCTTCAGTCAACACTAATGAGCTGCTGAGCTTCGGCGTGCTCTCAGCTCGAACAGACAGGGGCGGCAAATGCCACTGCGCACTAGTCAGTGTGTGATTCTGCGCTCTGGCTTTAAGCTGGCGTACAGTTGTGCTGACACATAGTGCATCCTCACAGAAAACCAAAATAATTGGTTGTTGTCTGGGCTTGGTTTTATTCAGCAAAAAATAAACTACTTTTTCCTGTTTTCTCTCCCCAACAGTAAATAAGCACAAGCCATGGATTGAGACCACGTATCATGGTATCGTAACGGAAAATGACGACAAAGTTCTCCTGGACCCTCCGTTGATAGCCTTGGATAAAGATGCCCCGTTGCGCTATGCAGGTAAGATCCTCCATCTTCTGGTCTCCGATGAGGCTGCCAGCCATTTTGCTTCCTCATGCTTTCCAAACCATAAAGAGATATTTCGCCTAAAAATGAAAGTTCTGTCATCGTTTCTTCCATAAAAAGGGATTGATTTTTTTCCCTAGGGGTGCTTTTCTATGTAATGAAAGTGAATGGGAATTAACAAAAAGCACCATAAAAGTAGTTCATATTGTTTAAGTGTTTTATTCCACTTTTCAAGCTAAACTAGCTTTGTGAGATGATCGGAAAACATTTCAATCATTATTTATTGAAAAGTTCAATAACAAAAAACATTTCCATTATTTGAACTAAACATGAACTGAAATTTAAATACAATATAAAAACTTTCATTTCAGCAATGCAACGTTTAAGTTGAAATACTAAAATAACTAAAACTAAAAAGAAGCTTAATAAAAATGATATAGACATTTACAAAACGCACAACATAATTCCTAAAATTAAAATGTAAACAAATTATAAAAATAAAGTCTAGTTTAAAATATTAACAAAATCTATAATAGTATATCAATGATTCTAAAGTAAAAATAGATTTGCTTTGGCTCTCAAATCAAAATACCAGGGAATTAGTAGTTTTTTGACATAATTGATTTGAAACGCCATTGGTTCTTGTTTGCCATGTGACCAAACATCATGTGTGATGCTTTTAATGTCACCACTTTTATGGCATTTTTTGTGTCATATTGGACTTTGACCGCCTCGGTCTCCATTCACTTACATTATGTGAAAAAGAGTGAGCAGGATAATCTTTAAAAATTCACCTTTTACACATAAGAAGCCGTACAAGTGAGGGAGACAAATATTGACAGAATTTTCATTTTTATCATTAGAAGTTTGTTGTATTGATGACTGGAGTATATGCACCTGATTTGTCTCCAGTTATTAAAGCTGTCAAATGAGGGCGTATTATGATGAAATGCTGTTATTAATGTTTTCAATGAAAAGTCAGCAGAATATTTCTAAAGGTAATTTAGAAATTACCTTTCATTTAGTCAGATAGGAGCCATAATAAAAGTCCTTTGTGAACTTGTTTTGAATGATTTTTTCCCTTGGTCTGGACTCTTGGTTCTTTAGTTTGATAATGTATTGATGGTATGACAAAGCTTTCCTACTCGCATCTTGTCAATTAAACCTTAAAATAGCTCTATAACAAACCATAATTACATTTTGAATAAAAGACCTAAAATCATCAGCCTGCAGTTGAACTTGTTATAATAATTTATATGATTGGTGAAGTCAGCTCTTGTTGGTAATTAGGTTTGTAGATATTCTTGGAGTCTCTAATGCTCTAGGTTAATGGGGCTGTTTGTTTCTCCATGTACTGCTTTATGCTTCTTGAGTTTATATTTGCTCGTGTCTCTAGACATTTAGCAGTAAATGTAGTGCAAAACTGAATATGTAAAACACTGAGTTCCACTGATTCCTACAAAGTCCAGGTGCGAGCTATGATGGATGTTGGTGGTGTGCTTCTCCCTTATCTTTTTTCCACATATTGGAGATAATAAGTTAATAAGCAGTTCCAATTGAGGTATTTTTAAGCATGTTGCAGTAATAAGCTCATATTTAATCAGTACAGTTGAAGATAGGCAGTCCATAAACCCGTCACTTTTTTAAATTGCCTCTCTCGTTCGACAAGCAGCTGGTCGCCAGACTTCTAGAGCTCTTCTGATATCAAGATCAATGAAATTTCTTCTTACTCGGCTTGTTTCCTGTGAGAGGGAATGTGCAGCTCTAGCATTGGCTCTAGCCATTTTGAATCACTTAGAGATTTACTTTGACCTCGTTTCAAATCTCTTTATGCAGTGGTCCATTGTCAATGCACTCCCTCCTTTCTCACGGTTTTAGTAGCAGTCCTTGTTATTCTCCTGGTGCATGAATATGGGACACTGCTATCAAATTAGTGGCAAACATTTGGGAGAAAGATTGGTCCACATGCACTAATGTGGTTTACCTTGAGTTATTTGTATAAATATCAAAGCATTTAGGTCATTTTTCACCGATAATCTCATCAGTGAAGGTGCTGCAGCACCTCATAAATATATAATTCCTCTGATAGTTCGTAAGCAATCATTTCAGTAAGCTTTGTTTGTGTGAGCCAGCAGTGAGAGTGCAGACATTTGGCACACTGATTATATGAACAAGCTTTCTTAAATTGACTTTGAAGCGTCACATGGCTGTGTGGGTGACTGTCGCATTCTTAGCCTCTCTGCCAATGCCGGGCCGCTCAGGACATGGTGCCATGCTGACTAACTCACTTTACTCTGATCAGTGAGTTTGGCAAAAGCCATACAGAACTGTTGTGCCATTTAGACTCTTTTAAACCAGACCGTGCTGGTTTAATATAGTAAATATACTGTATATTTTTTATGATGTATTATTTTTATGATATTATATATTAAAATGCCTTTTCCCCCCAAAACAATACAATAAATTTCTGACAATTAATGAAATATATTAACATTGTACCGAATAGGAATTTAATTATTTATTTATATATTGCTTTTGTATTGTATTTATTTAATTATATTATTATATATTTTTTATATAGATAGATAGATAGATGGTATTTATCACAAAATATATCACATTGTATTGAATATGAATATATTATTCATTTAATTGTATTATTTATATATTTTATATTGTATTAATTTAATGGTTCTAATATATATATATATATATATATATATAATATAAAATATAAGTGTTAGGCCTGCAATAAAATATTGTGAAATTGATCAAATGTTAGATTACTGATTGAATTCAAAGCAAAGGACTTTTGCTCCCAGCATTGTAAATCTCTGTGGAATTTTTGTAGAACATGTAGATTTTTTTAGTGTATATGAAAGGTTGCTTCAAAGGGTGCAATGTCCAATTAGGGACAGACATGCAGCATCATGATCGATGTTCTGCTGGCCTTTTATAAACCAGCTCCAAGCATCGAATTCCACTGCAGACAGATGTACTCTATAGAGAGCTCTTACATTCCTATCAGTGGAGGACTATTCAGTAGGCCTGTCGCAATAATCAATATATCGACTTATCGCGCAATATATGTACATGACCTCAATCATTTTTGGTGACGCAATATATCGCCCATTATATTTACTTAAAAATTAATGTCACCATGTTTTTATATTCCACTTGCGCCAGTGTCTTTTGCAGCTTCTCGTACATAACGTG